TCTATTTGATATATATACAAACAGCTTGATTTAAAAGGAATACATACAAGGGAAAAGCGACAATATCGTCCCGGCATCAACAGAGATCCATTCTCGTTCCTGTGTCTTCTGCGAGTGAAAGTTATCGGAGATCATCCGCGAGGTATGGCGTGGTATTTCTGTTTTTAAGATGGGGGATTATTCGTTGGATATCCGGCTTTATTATGAAGTGAGAATCGAATTGCTGAATATTGAAATAGGGAAGCTATTGAGAGATGAGTGTGAGGTCATCTTTTGAATATGTGCAAGAGGTTGTGAATATTTATGTTTATTTATGTTTTTAAAAGCGTGTCTCGCTGGAATTATTTTGATTTTTGAAGTCTTGTTTAATTGCGGTTTTGCAAGTAAGAGAAATGTGATGATGTGATTTAAGTAATCACGCGTGGACCTTTAGTTTAGATATTCAATATGTTTTAATTTTACAATAATTTCCTTTTTCTCATTCTCATAGACCGCAAGCTGTGTTTAAAGCTATCAGTGTAAGCAAAAATTAATTGTAGGATCGCAGTTCCTTCTAAATCGCTCGAAATCATGTCATTTATGATCCGAAAAGAGAGGAAAGGTAAATAAATAAATAAATAAATAAAATGCCGTTTTCATTCGGGCCAAACTGCCTTTAGTCTAGTTGGTCGTTGGGTATAGGTTGAAGACACCAAAACGGGTAGATAGAGGGAAATGGACGCCGCCATCTTATCAAGCGGAAGAAATAGAGTGGGATAGAACATAGTTTAAGCTGCAGTGGCCTTATAGTCGCTGCTAAATGACGAAAATACATCGCGCAGTCTCCTTACAAATTCTAAGTCCAGCAACTTGTTTACCTTACTAATGCGAGTTTTATATTTTTTGTTATAATTGAATTGGATATAAAGATAAAGAAAAAATTGCTAGTTTTTTGTAAAGCAGGATTGATCGAATATTTTGCGTGGATTAGAAACAATGGCAGTACTTTTTGGATTGATAAGAAATGCTGAATTTAACCAAGTGGGGAAATGTCATTATGCAGACTTTCCTATTACACAAGGGCCCCTTTTTACATGGCACGATTTTATATACTGTGTAGAATGTGGACCAGTAGACTTGCTCATCCCGTGTGGTGTCATGTTGTCTGTTTAGATCATTACCAATGTAGAGTACTATATTTATTAAAGCTAATTTAGGAAAGGCATGAAATGTTGAATTACAATTTTGATATAAGTTGGTCATGATTAATGTACATTTTTAAAAACTCTTGTCTACATAAAATGCCTGAAGTAATGAAGCCAATTTGAGAAGGTGGCATAGCGTCAGGTGATCCTATGTCCTATGTGCCTAAATATCTTGCCACATATATGCTGGGAGGATGGAGCTTGAAGTAATCCGTTGTGATAGTGAGGAGGCATGTTGGCATTTGCCAGAAAACCACCTGGTGTAGAAAACTTGCGATAGCTCGAAAAAAAACATTTTACAAATGCCAGAATTGGAATGCATAGCTCTTAGTATATATTGATGAGTAGGTTTGAATTAGATTTTATGATTTGCTTGCTGAGTTTTCTCATTAATTTTTCAACTGTTAGGCTTTTGTTAGTATATTGAAATGTATGTGTAACTAATATCTATAAATCATTTCAGATGGTGAATTTGATGCATAAAACTGGAACACATCATGGCTTTGGAGACAGACTTCTGTGGCTCTTCATGACTTGATGATTTGTGGATTCCTGATTGTATTGGAACTCAAAATTCGAAGTCTTCAATCCCTGTAAGGGATAATCAAGAAAATGGTATATATAGACTAGAAAGTTCTGCATTTCTAATTTTTATTTTAATTGGCCCAAGGAACATGGCCAATTCATATTTGAATCAGCCTTAATTACATTTAAAAATCATTATGTAATGAATATATTCTTATGTAGGAAAAATCATTGACAACTTGATATATTAATTGAAATTGTTTGATATTTAAGCTTGGTTGATTCTCTTTGCAAGCAGATTCACTCTGTGCCAGTTCACTTGGACTGAGTCACTTTTTAAGTCTGCGAGAGAAACTTGGAGATTCTATGAGTTTAACCTAAATGGTGAAGTCTTGTAGAGTTTTCATACAGAAATCTTATTGGAACAGTTATTCTCTGTGATTGGTGGAAGTAATTATTAATGGATATGGTTTCTTGTTTCAGTTGGAGTCAGAAGTGTAGATGGATAAGCATGGGTTGAGGCTGCTTTGGACGGGAAATTGCAGCTTTGGACCTGCATATTGCTACAGAAATATTCATCTATGGGAAGGTAAGTTTTGCATGTAATATTCAAAAAGTATATTTTGTAAAATCTCAAGGAATTGATACTTTGTGGATTTGTATAAAGTATACTTTTAAACTGAGTAGTTCAGCCATTCCCAACCCGTTTGTTATTACAGATCTCTTTGCTTAAACGTTTTTGTAAACCCTAGGAATGTCAATCGCAAAAAAAAAAAAAAAAAAAAAAAAAAAAAAAAATCCCCAGTTGACATGAATAAATTTGCAACTATGTATACAGCTAAATGAATGGCTGTGTAGAAAGTTAAACACAATTTTAATGTTTCTTAGATGCTAGTCTTTTTGAAAATTCAAAATGGATTATAAACCATCCATTTGTAGGAGGGTATAGATAGATATAGTTATAGTTATTGGTAATATCCATGTCTGATTATATGTCTGGAATCAGCATCTGTAAGTGTGAGAGGAATGAATATACTTGCATTGCAGACATACTCCTGTGTCAGTTCATGTGGACTGAATCACTTTCTCAAGTCTGCAAAATCAATTGAAAATTCTTGGGAATTTAATCTAAATGGTTAAGGCCTTAAGAATTTTTCATACAATCTTTTTATAAAGTTCATATTTTGATTTACTCAGTTTATTTCTTAGTTTTGTGTGTTTTGAGTGGATTAGTAGAGAAACAGGCACAAGACAGTGACCAAATACCATAGGTATTTAATTGTATTCCTACTATTATATATATATATATATATATATATATATATATATATGTACTTTTTTTTTAACCGTAAATTCTTTTTAGGTGTCTTTTGGATGAAATGAACAAGAAATTTCTTATGCTTCTTTTCAGAGTTGTGTGTGACTGGTGTAGGATACCTTCATAAGCAGATTATTTGTGGTGCTGTGGATGCTGTGTCTGCAAGACCTTCCTACCTGTCACTTGGAATTTAGCCCCAGAGAGTTAGACAGTCATATTAATTTGATGTCGGAATAAAGGAATAAAGTGTTGATAATTTTTGGTATTTTCATGAAGTTCCTTCTGTATAAACTTTTAGTTATACATTGAATTGTGAATGAATATATGCCACATAAACTTCAAATACAGGTGATTACATGCATTGAGCATGAAGATAATACTGATATATATTATGAATATTACTTTCTGGATAATTATGGCTGCAGGCAAGTGCAAAGTGTCCATAAACAAATTTTCATAACTATACCCAATAGATAAAAAGAAGCAAAAGGATAAAATCTTCATGAAATCTTGTAGAGACTATTGTAGAAAATGAGCAAGGCACCAAAAAGGTCAACTTCTGATGAAAAAACCTGCATCTTCCTGTACTGCAACAGTTCCCTTATGATTTCTTGCTTTTTTATAATATTTAAAGGCAATTTTGAAGATTTATAAATGCTCATCCTTGCTTACTTTTGAATGACCAATTTTGTAGTGCACCAGAAATGTGGGGCTCCCCCCAATCCCATGCTTCTTGTTGTCGAGATGGGGCTTAGGAGACAGAGAATGAGGGCAAATGTGGGGGTTCACCCTTGCTGTGGACCTCGCCTCAACTAATTTTGCATGTCTTTTTTCTTCTTACGTTTTCCTCCTCTTCATCCCCATCATCCGTCCACCTCATAAAGTGAGAACCATGCTGAAAGAATGAAAGACTGGCTTTGTCAGTCCTGAACAACCTTTTGTGGTCTATTTCCTCTTTACCCTTTTCACCGCCATACCAACCATAGTGCTATATGACCTATGATGTCTCTCACATACATTTGTTTCAACCATTAATCATAAACCTGTAACCAACCAAAAATGAGGAAGTAAGGGTCTTTAAAGTCTTTTTTTTGTGTGTGTGTTATTGGAGTACTCCCTCTTCATCTACAATGATTCTATCTTGGCAGTTAAATACATGTTTATTTAATCAATTTTTAAGAATAGTGCTATATGACATTTTGATGTCTAGCTTATTTGCTTAAACAACTAACCATTACTCATACTCAAGCAATAAATGTCTAGCTGTGAACTTCTGTCAAGAAAAGCATAGTAAGTACAAAGTCCTCCATCCATACTATGAGGTGGTGGAAATACAGTATGCTGTGGATGAAAGGACAGCATAAAATGAAATCTGATGTTCAGTATAAATGTGTAAGCAAGACCTGCAGAATATTCAGAATAAAATTACAGACCATTCAAGCAACTGTACTACTCATAAATTTGTCTATCCTTTTGCAGTGAATGGCAAAATAAAATTCTGGGAGATGCAAGCATGGGAGTTTCATTTATGGCAAGCAATAGGAAATGCTGTATGATGTTGCAACAGACTAGGTAATGCTGTATATTAGATTTTAAAATTATACCTGTTATGACATACTCAGTGGCCATAGTTCTCAAGCTGAATATTGGATGTCGAGGGAATTCCAACTACTATAGTCTTCATATGCCAACTCAGTTATTCCACAGAACTTTTGTATAACTTGTATCATATTGGATTTGGAAGATTTTCATTAGAAGGATGATTGTTCTGCAGTGTTATCTGAACTCCCCCCACCCCTCCCAATTCCATGCCCATTGTTGTCATGGGTAGAGTTTAGGAGATGGGTATTGAGGCCTAATGTAGAGGATCACCCCTACCCTTGCCTCAACTAATTTTGCATGGACTTTTCTTCTTTCTTTTTCTTTCTCTTCATCCTCTCCTATCCACGTCCTAAAGCAGGAAACCCATGCTG